GTTGGGGGGTCCATGGGGCAGGTGGGATCCCCACAGACGTTCTGTGGGTGCTGGAGCAGGAAGCTCAGCCAGATTCATTCCTGCTCCCCCCACAGAGATCCGGGAAGCCTTCAAGGTGTTCGACCGCGATGGCAACGGGTTCATCTCCAAGCAGGAGCTGGGCACGGCCATGCGCTCCCTGGGGTACATGCCCAACGAGGTGGAGCTGGAGGTCATCATCCAGCGCCTCGACATGGACGGTAGGACCCCGGCAAGCCGGGCTGGGGACAGGCACGGGACCCCCACCTGGGAGAAAGACACAATTCCTTATTTCCACCCCACGTGCTGGACACCACACGGGATGTGGGATGAGCCTGACCCAGGCTCTGCCTCCCGCTGGAGCCTTCCTCTCATTCTTCATCATCATCATCATCATCATCATCACCACCATCATCATCATCACCATCATCATCATCATGGCCACTGCAGCTTTGTTTGGGAAGATTTAAGGATCCTGGATGCGTGTGGGATCGCTGAACCTGCTGGGTCTGCTCTGCCGAGGCTGGATCCCGCAGCCAGGGGTGGATCCTGCACCCTGGCTCGTGTCCTCAGCACCCATCACCCTCCAGCACTCGCTGCCACCGTGACCCTGTCCCCACCCCTCCATCGCCCATCAGGACCGGAAAGAGCTCCTTAATTTATTGCTTTTCCTTTTTTTCCCCATTTAAAAGCCTTTCCGGCAGCGCTGCCAAGGCGCCGCTCCCCTCATTACTCATCGTTAGTGCTGCCCTGACAGCTCCAGGCCAGTGTCCCCCACTGCCAGGGGACACGGCCACAACGGCCACTGAGCACCCCCGGGGCCACGGCCACCACCGGGGGTCCCTGCTGGAACTGGGGTCCCTGCTGGAATTGGGGTTCCTGGACAGTGTTTGGCTTCCCTGACCTTTCCTGGGGGCTCCAGGTGACACTGGGTGTCCCCAGGTCCCATTGGAAGGGGACCCAAATGGCACTGGGGGTCCCTACATGGCAGTGAGAGTCCCGGCCAGCACTGGGGACCCCAGCCAGTGTTGCTGTCCCAGCTGGTGCTGGGGAGACCAAACCTTGTTGGAGGTCCCCACCCAGTGTTGGAGGCCCTGGCTGGTTTTGGGGGTCCTCAGCCAACATTTGTGGTTCCCAGGTAGCCCCAGGAGGCCTCCAGGTGGCACCAAGGTCGCAGCTGGAATGGGGTCCAGCTCACACTCATGTCCTGGATGATGTTTGGCTTCTCCAGCCAGCACTGGGGTCCCACATCACATTGTGGGGGAAATAAGTGGTCTTAGGGTGTCCCCAGTTGGCCCTGGGGTCCTGGCTGGCATTGGGGATCCCATCCAATGTTGGGCATCCTGGCCAAAGATGGAAGTTCCCTAAATTTGCTGGAGGTTCCCAGCTGATCTTGGGGTTCCCAACTGATTTTGGGGGTCTGACCATCCATGGGGCCCCTTCTGTGAGGGGGAGTGTCCCATGTGCCCAGGCAGGGGGTGACAGCCACCCCTGTGTCCCACAGGTGACGGGCAGGTGGACTTTGAGGAGTTTGTGACATTACTGGGGCCCAAGCTCTCCACCTCGGGCATCCCAGAGAAGTTCCACGGCACCGACTTCGACACTGTCTTCTGGAAGGTAGGGACACCCCCAGCCCCATGGGAATGGAGGGACACCCCCACCCCATGGGAGGGCAGGGACACCCCCAGCTCATGGGAATGGAGGGACACCCCCAGCCCATGGGAGGGCAGGGACACCCCCAGATCCATGGGAATGGAGGGACACCCCCAGCCCATGGGAGGGCAGGGACACCCCCACCCCATGGGAGGGCAGGGACACCCCCAGCCCATGGGAATGGAGGGACACCCCCACCCCATGGGAGGGCAGGGACACCCCCAGAACCATGGGAATGGAGGGACACCCCCAGCCCCCTCCCAGGAGCAGTTCCCCAGAACCTGCACCGAGAGCACCAGGGAAGGCTCAGGGTCAGGACCAAGGTTGGGGTTGGGATCAGGGACAGCATGAGGGTCAAGGCTGGAATTGGGGTTGGGTTGAGGGTGAAAGTCAGGCTCTGGGTCAAGGACGAGGTTATGGCTGGTTTAAGAGTCAGGATTAGGTTTAAGATTAGGGTTAGGGTCAAGTTTAGGATCAAGATCAGGCTCAGGCTCCAATTTAGGGTTAGTATAAGCCTTGGGGTCAGGCTCAGGGTCAGCACTGGTTTACAGGTTGGGGTTGGAGTTAGGGTTATGTTTAGGGTCAGGGTTCAGGTTGGAGTCAGGGTTAGGATGAGGGCTGGGATGAACCTCGCTCTGCTGGGGGTCACCAGGACACCAGGCCTTTCCCAGCCAATTCCAGGTGATCCACCCAAACCACCACATCCAAAGGTTCTGGGGGACCCCGAAGCCCCCTGTGCTGCCGGCCATGGGGTCACCCCAAGCCCCCCGGTCCCCGGCAGTGTGACATGCAGAAGCTGACGGTGGACGAGCTGAAGCGGCTGCTGTACGACACCTTCTGCGAGCACCTGTCCATGAAGGACATCGAGAACATCATCATGACGGAGGAGGAGAGCCACATGGGCACGGCCGAGGAGTGCCCCGTCGACGTGGAGAGTGAGTGCCGGGCACCGGGAATGCCAAACCCCCCCCGGGGATCCCAAACCACGGGGATAGCACTGGTTCCCCCCGGTACCAGGAGAGCGTGTTGGGGGTTGGGGTAACGCGGTGTTTGTCCCACCCCCAGCCTGCTCCAGCCAGCAGATCCGCCAGACCTGCGTGCGGAAGAGCCTCATCTGCGCCTTCGCCATCGCCTTCATCATCAGCGTGATGCTCATCGCCGCCAACCAGGTGCTGCGCAGCGGGATGAAGTAACGGGGTGCCCCCGCCGCCGGGGACCCGCAGCGCCGCCGAGGAGGAGACACCTATAAATATCTATAAATATCTCAATGTACATCCATGTGTGGCCCAGAGACGTGACCCCCCCCGGGGAGGGGGGCAGCCGAGGGGACAGAGCCGCGCCGGGGCCCCGCCG